AAAGAGTGTCCGGGCATATGACTTGTTACGTGTACTTATTTGCGATTCGTTTGGGCTGTCACGTGTGGTGATTAGTGTTGGGTAAGGCTAGGCCAGGTCAGGTCAGACTAGGCCAGGTCAGACTAGGCTAGGTAAGGCTAGGCCAGGTCAGGCTGGCCAGGTCAGGCTGGTCAGGTCTGGCTAGGGTCAGGCCAGGCATAGGCTAGGCAGGGTGAGAGAAGTAAAGCGGCAGGTACTTACGTTTCCGAGAAAGTAGCGGCGGTAGTATATTGTTGATTTAGATTCGACGACATCCTGAAGCTAGTAGGTGGCGGCCTCATCGCTCTCGAACTTCTTGTTGTTGTAGGGGATACGAGGCACACCCAATATCCCCCTTACATTGATCACATCGCACACTAATATTTTTACTATTTCGGACACCAGATTTGTCTGTTTCGTATATGTATAATTGTTCAATATTAAAACCACAATAGAATGCTCTAAGTACTTTCGTATATTAATACATCTTCAGAAGGAATGGTTCGCTCTGAAGATGTATTAATATAAGAAAGTACTAAAGGAAATTCCTGTTTCAATTCTTCCTCCGTGGTCTGACACTCTTATTATATATTGTATATACTGAATTATATATACTATGCTTATATAATATATACTGAAATATTGTTACATTTAACGTATGAAACAAAGTATATATCTGTATTTTTATTAAAATATAAAACATTAATATTTATCAACGTATCTCTGTGAATTACATAATTTATCAGTATTGTACAGCCTGTGATCTCCACCTGGCTGGCCACTGATACCTAAGTAGCTTTCATGTGTCCGGACATCGGCGATAGGATTGTATTATTTATTTATTTATTTATTTATTTATTTATGCATATACAAGAATGTACATAAGGAATGTGAGGATACAAATATGGTAATTACAGTCTTGTAAAGCCACTAGCACGCGCAGCGTTTCGGGCAGGTCCTTAATCTAAGAAAATTTTAAGGAGGTAAATACTTGAAAAGTTTATAGACAAAAAAATGAAAACAGATTACATGGAATGAAAAAAAAGATGAGAGAAAATTATAGGTACAGTATATTAGAGTACATAGGTAGCTATGATTGATTGCAATGACAGCTTAAAATGGTAGTTGACAACAAATTGGTAGGCACAATACAGCAGAAACAATATATGATTGATTGCAATGACAGCTTGAATGGTAGTTGACAAAAATTGGTAGTCACAATACAGCATATGGCTAGCACATAAAAGAAGACTGAACACAATGATAAGGTTGTTTGATATTACATAAAAATTAGGAGATTGGGTAACACTAGGTACAGAGCAAATTTAAAGCTCGGTGTAGGAAACTAAATAGATGAAGTTAGGTACTTTTTGGTTTTGCTTTTAAATAAGGCAAAAGTTTTACAGTTTTTCAATTCACTAGGGAGTGAGTTCCATAGACTAGGTCCCTTAATTTGCATAGAGTGTTTACACAGATTAAGTTTGACCCTGGGGATATCAAAGAGATATTTATTTCTGGTGTGGTGATAATGGGTCCTATTACATCTGTCCAGGGAGAGTTTCAGAGCATGGTTTGCATTTAAGAACAGGGTTTTGTAAATGTAGTTGACACAAGAGAATGTGTGGAGGGAGTTAATATTTAGCAAGTTTAGGGATTTAAACAAGGGAGCTGAGTGTTGTCTGAAAGCAGAGTTAGTTATTATTCTGATAGCAGATTTTTGCTGTGTGATGATGGGCTTAAGGTGGTTTGCAGTGGTAGACCCCCATGCACAGATACCATAATTAAGATAGGGGTAGATTAGTGCATAATATAGTGAGAGGAGAGCAGAGTTAGGAACATAATATCTGATTTTGGAGAGTATACCAACTGTCTTAGAGACTTTCTTAGTTATGTGTTGAATGTGGGTGCTGAAGTTGAGTCTCTTGTCTAGGAATAGGCCAAGAAACTTGCCATCATTTTTATTACTGATGTTAATGTTGTCTATCTGTAGCTGAATTGCATTTGATGATTTGCTTCCAAATAAGATGTAGTAAGTCTTTTCGATGTTTAATGTTAGTTTGTTCGTTGACATCCATAAGTGGACTTTAACTTTAAAGAGAGAGATATTTCTTGAAATGTTGTCACATTAACGTCTACATCTTCCTTCCTTCTGACATATAGATTTTAAGGTTAATTAGCATATATGGAAATAAATTACACAATTTATAGGCTGGTGTGAAGGGCTTCACACTCTTAGAGCAAGCCATCAAGAAACTGTACAGTATCAAATGCATATATCTTCGCATTCACTTCAGTTATATTTATGACAAGTATTTAAAGTGTAGCTTATATTTCTGCCTTTCTGTTGACATAGAAAACTTTCGTTTATTACATTATCTAGATAAAATTAGCATTGATCTTCAAAAGGTTGTAGTTGTAACTTCCATTATAAACAACATTATTATTGCAAACAGTAGGAGTTTCAAAGTCTCATTTGTATGGATACCTTCTCATATAGGTGTTGTCCACCTGCATGATGACACAAACAAGGCAGCTAAAACTGAATGTGATAAGCCTGAAGTTGAGTGGGATATGGGCATTCCAATCTCTTCTGTCAAAGTCGCAATATTTTAGGAAATTAGGGAAGACAGAAGAGCAATCACTGACACACAAAAGCCAGAAAGCAAGAGTATAAAGAGCTATGACATGTTTATGTGCCTCTGTAACCTTTTCCACTACCGCCCACAAGATGATATATGGGGTGCATAATTAATGAACTAAACTAAGTAAACATGTTTAGAATCGAGAATTATATGAACGGACAGCATAAAACTTCCACTAGTGTCACAATGACAGTGTGACATTGTAATTGCCAGAATTAGGCTAGGATATCGATATGTATCGCAGGTGGCTGCAGGTAATGAATAGCCCCCAATGGTGAATATTCCAATTGTAAACTATGTGAACAAGAGCTGGGACATACTCACCAACACTATATCTGTGATTGCCCTGTTATAAGTGACTTCAGACCAAATGGTATAAGGTACTTTGAACTCTGTAATTACTTCATACACTTGTGAATATTGGAAGATATTCTTATGCTGTACCCGGATTTTGCTAACGGAGGCTAATAGATCAGCCTTATATTTTATGTTCTCACCTGATTGTTACCTTTAGGTAGGCCCGTAAGTGGTAGTCCTCTTGAACCATTAACAGTATCAATAGATGATACTGGAGATCTGTGGAGGTGCGACTGGACCCTGCGTGACGGGAGATGTATCCCTTGTTTCTTGTGATTGATTGATGAGGATTAAGCCACCCAAAAGGTAGCACGGGCATGAATAGCCCGTAAGTGGTGTTCTTGTTAGTCACAGTTGATTTCTTTTTATTGAGGCTGGTATTTTATCCACTGATTCCATGTATAACTAACCATCCTGTGAGATGGGAATATTTAATGAACTTATAGCTAGTTTTTGATATACACTGTGTAATCTTTCATATAGAATAGGGTAGCAGCACATTACTGTGTATACCTAAGCTTGTTAATAATAACAAAAAAAAGTTAGTTTCTATCGATAGGGAGAGCGATGGTTCAAAAATCCTTCTTTAAAATATGAATATCTTTCCTATCTCACTAAGATCTAATCTCTGTGATTAAAATGCAAAATTGACTTTGTCACTGCCTTTTTGATAACGTATACAATCATAAGCTTATTTGTGAATCTCTATTAATCAGTAAATCAGAGAGCGTGTAAGGTTCCGTGTTCCATGTCCGAAGAAACAGGGAGATTTTACATAAATACAGTACATGATAGTTTAAGTAGCGAACGCATACCAACAAATAACGATTAGTATCTATAACAAAAATATTGTTCTATGGAGTTGATTTAACTTCCAACCATGTATTTTTAAATAATCTTTAACGTTTTCTGGCTAGTTATGTTAGATTTGATTAAAAATACGCATTCTACTTGTTAATATCGTTAGATTTGATTAAAAATACGCATTCTACTTGTTAACATCATAAATTAAATTTGCGATAATTTGAGCAGAGAAGTTCGACGACTGGATCACTGTGTACAGAAGGTTGATATGCCAGCAAACACTTTCCAGAGAGCAATATATCTTGGATAAGTCGCTCCACGATATTGTTGCTTGGACCATCGACTTCCTTTGATATTACATATTTACATCTTATTTTGTTATGAAATGATATTTTTTCAGAGTAAAATTATGTTTTCTCATTTTCTGCATCCAGCATCCACATTATAGTGAGTAAATATACCATATTACTTCATTGCTTACGTAATGCTAGGAAGGTTTGAGTAGCTTTGGGTCTTTAGTGGACAGAATCTCCAATAGATGGGGCGAGAATCTCTCTCGACCGGGCGGGACTCGAAACTTAAATTAAAATTGCTATATCATTGGTCTCCAACATGATATATTTCCTTTGATGCACTCACAATAACGATTATAGCTAAGTCTTTCTGGAGGCATGTAATATTTTAGGCTTTATTAGCGTATCTTTGTTAATTACACAACATATTGGCAAGTGCGTAGGCGTCTGCACTCCATGACCGAAAAGCTACTGAACGCCACTATAAAAACATATATATCTTCACTTGAGCTTTAAATATGTCTAATGTATTTAAAATAAAGCTTATATTTCTATCTTTCTTAAGACGTGTAAAACATTTGTGTTTATTAACGAATTTACGTAAAATAAACATTCTTCTGAGAGAGTTGCTCTGTCGCTCAGTCTATGCGGGGGTCGGAGCTCGGCGATTATTAAAATACATGAATCTTCATTAGAACTTTAATTATGTCTATGATAAAGTGTTTAAAATGAGCCTTATATTCCTATCTTTCTTGAGGCATATAAAAAATTTACGATTATTTACAAATTTACGTGAAATAAGCATTGTTCTGAGAGAGAGTTGCTCCGTCGATCGATCTGTCCGGAGTCGGAGCTCGGCTATTATAAAAGTACACGTATCTTCGCTTTAAATTTAAATATGCCCATGGTAAGGTATTTAGAACGAAGCTTATATATCTGTCTTTCTTGTGACATATAAAACTCTTACGTTTATTAAGGAATCTGCGTGAAATAGGCATGGTTCTGAGATGAATGCTGCGGTTTTCGAGTTTGACGAGCGATGAAAACTGCCACTTTTATACAACTACAAATATCTTCGGTTTTACTTAAAATATTTATCTGGTAGAGGTTTTACATATAGATCGCGTTTCTGTCTTTCTTCTGACTAATAAATAATTTTGGTTTAATCAGTTATCAAGATGTTTTCAACAATATTCTTTCAGCGTTCGTCTTTTCCAACTTGGGCGACCCTTTTGGAAGCGCGATACTTGGGTTAACCCATCCTATAGTTGGGTCTGTTTCCAACTGGGGTTCGAATATTACTATGGCAGCTGTCGCAGTGGTGGAGGATGAAGGCGCACATACTGATCACGGCTCCAGAAGTAAGGATGTGCACACAGTGGAGGTCCGTGCTGGGGACATCCTGGAGGACTTGTGTCGCCTGTGTGGTGCTCAGGACGGCAGGCTCCTGCACCTGGCAGATACCTTCTCTATCCTCGGAGCAACCTCAAATATACTACACTTGCTAGAAAGTATATCGGTCCTACTTAAAGTTCAGGTATGACTGTTATAGGCTATTATTGGTAATGAAATATGTTTCACATATTTCATTACCAATAATATCATTGATACCAATAATATCATTGATACCAATAATATCATTGATACCAATAATATCATTGATACCAATAATATCATTGATACCAATAATATCATTGATACCAATAATATCATTGATACCAATAATATCATTGATACCAATAATATCATTGATACCAATAATATCATTGATACCAATAATATCATTGATACCAATAATATCATTGATACCAATAATATCATTGATACCAATAATATCATTGATACCAATAATATCATTGATACCAATAATATCATTGATACCAATAATATCATTGATACCAATAATATCATTGATACCAATAATATCATTGATACCAATAATATCATTGATACCAATAATATCATTGATGTGGCACTATGGATGATAGTCACATCTTCATCATTGCTTTGAGACACCTCAGTAAGTCATAGACTTGGGTACATCCATTATAATCAATGTAATGAGTGTGTGCAAAGCTCTTATTAAATAGTGAAAATATTAGGATAACCTGTTAATAATATAAATAGATTATCTTATAAAAATAACTAGTCTCTGACTTTCAGGAATCAACAAAACTGTCAGGGCTGGATTTTTATAAATCTGGAATTTCAAGAATAAAGAGACCATAGATTTAAGCTAGGAAAATAAAGGTGCCAAAAAATCTATGAAACTTGTCTTTTGTGAATGGTTGGAATGCTGTCATTAATGAGAGATGGGGTGGATGCTAAAAACAGATGCTTCAAAGCATCATCACTTGGCAAAGATTATAGGGAAGATGGGACTCCATGAACACTCTGTAGCTTTATTCCTGTAACTGCACTTAGGTAATTACATGTTATAAATTTGTTGAAAGATTATACTGTGTATATACACTTATAATGTACACACAGATATATAATACTGTAGTTAAGTATTCATTAATTTATTGCATTATTTCCTTACAATTTATACTTTATGTATATAACCTTATAAGTTTGCTTGATATTACTATAGTTGTATATCGGCCTCTTGACTCAATTTATCTGTATATTTGTGTGTGTATATATATGTATTTACTATTTATATCTGCAGAATTGAGCTATTAGCTCTTGGACCCCACCTTGGATCCTAGGATGTTTGAGATGGTTTTCCATGTACTTTTCATGTTTCCCTAACCCCAACCACTTAACTTGGGCTGATGTTTTCGCTTCATGCAGGCCAGCGTTCAATTCCCGACTGTCCAAGTGGTTGGACACCATTCCTTCCCTCCCCCCTTCCCCTGTCCAATCCCTAATCCTTATCCTGATTCCTTCCAAGTGCTATATAGTTGCAGTGGCTTCTGACTTTCTTCTAATAGTTCCCTTCCCTTGCTTCTTCAAATGTGTTATAGAAATAGGATAGGATAGTTTAGTTCTTCATATTATATTGAAAAGTGTTGAAGAATATCAAAGAATACTTGATCAACCAAGTTGTGACTTGTATGTCAGGCTGCAAGCAGCTACATCAAACAGCCTGATTGACCAGACTACCAACCAGAAGACCTGGTCAGAGACTGGGCTGTGGGGACATTGATCCTCGGAATCACTAATAGGTATTGTGCAAGTTGGTTTGTCTATGCAAATAGGAGAATTATAGTATTTACATTTTGAGGGTCAGGATACTGTATAACGAATGAAACATAAATGACGTTATACAGCCTGTTGGAAATTTAGATTATAACCACATATTTAAATAGTTTTTGTTTACATATTTCAGTATTTGTCTCATTAAAAAAGTATATTTTAATTAATATAGATTATACTTTATAAATACTGTATAGTTTGGTAATAAAATAATATTTTAAGAGTGTATGTTCTTTTTCAGGATGATTGTGAAGACCTGATGCCCAAACACCTCTGCTTGTCCTGTTTTAATACAGCAATTGATATTCAAGCATTCATTGACTCCGGTGTTAACTTTCAGAAAACAACAATTACTCAGCTGTTTCCAAATGCAAGAGTAGAAGAAGCATATGAATTGCCATTTTCTGCAAGTTATCAAAATTCCCAAGCAACAAACAGATCTTTATCAGAATATGCTGAAAATGGCATTGGAAGTACAGGATCAGGACAGGGAAGGTCACATGATCTTTTTAGCTGTTATAATTCATTTGAAACCTCAAGTGAACTTGCGAAGCAAAATTATGATCAAGACCAAGAAATGACAATTGAGCAAAATGTAAATAATCATAGACATATTATTGATAGTTACCAAGAGTCACAAGGAATATTTGAATGCAGTGAATCTGTCAGTAAGCAAGGTGTTCTTACTTCTTCAGAAAACAGTATTAAGCCAAACACTTCTAGTCATCTAATTGGGACACCTGATAAGCTTTCCACAGCTTCAGATGGTAAATCTCAGATTAGTTACCAATGTGATGCTGCTTTATTACCCACAGGAAACAAAATATCTTTAAAGGAGGAGGAACATGGAAAAAATATTTCACACAGTACCTGTACTAAAAATGAGAGCCATAACAGTGCTGTCAGTGGTAATGGGAATACAAATCGTGCCATAAACACTTGCACAGCAGTTTGTTCTAAGGTAACAACTTCCACCGATAATAAATTGAGAAAGTGTCCAACTTGTGATAAAACTTTTCCTAGACAGAGTCAGTTAAAAAGCCACCTTACTACTCATAGTGAATTTCGGCCATTTGAGTGTAACAGATGTTTTCTGAAATTTAAGTATCGCAGAAATCTTGTGGAGCATTTCAGTATTCATGATGAAATCCCATCCTTCATCTGCTCAGTGTGTGGACTGACATTTAAACAAAAAAGCAAGTATGTTGTATTTCACCTGTTAACTATTTCATTGTTTCATATTCAGTCGATGCACTTTTTTCCAGTTATTAGGTATTTATGGTAGAGGGATACCTTTTGGTTTTGATGTCTTTATATTTGTAACATTTTGTTTCGAGACACCATGGTGCGCAAATCTATGGTGTACCAGCATTTGAACTACTGTATTCAGTTATGGAGACTTCGCTTTCAAAAAGACATAAGTGCTTTGGTGAAGGTTTAGTTCAGAGCAATATACCAGGAAAGGTTGAGTGTTGTTAACAACATTACAAATCAGACATCACTGGGCTGACTTCATTGAGACCTTTAAAATACTTAATAAATTGTAAAGTGTTAATTCATACCATTTCTTTTATAGATGTAACCCACATAAGAGACAACCACTTCAAGCTCAAGAAGCCACAATGTAAGACAGACAGACATGATTTTTCATCAATAGAATAATAAACCCATGGAATTACTAGTCACTGAAGCCATAAATGCCAAGACTGGAAAAAACTTAGGAAAAATGTGGGGGGAACTTTGACAAGCCATTGGCTTCCTGTTCCCATCAAGGTCATTAGAGATGGTGGCCTTCATATTAATTCAGGCAATATTAAGTTATGGCTCCATCTTAACTATTGTATTAAAGTATGAAAAACCACTCCTATACTGAATTATGATGCTACTTTATTTTACAAACTGGCAAAAATCACCTGATACTTCAGCTCACTTGTTAGGATGGCCTATATGGTACAGCACTGGTAACTCTTCAAACCAGCCATGATAGGTGTTATTTCACAAAGATATTTAAGATATTGAACAAGTATAATCATACATACCCTGACCACTTCTCTGAACTGATGTGGCATACACATTGTGGTCACAATTGTAAGCTTGCCAAGCCACTTAGTAGAACAGACAACAGTAAATTCTTCTGCCAAACGGTAATGCTCTTTGTATTAAAACACTGTAGAGAGACACTAGGATGAGACTAGACTATATTTTTAATGTTTGCCTGTAAGATTCATCAAATCTGATTTGATAAGGCTCTGGTTTCCTGTTGAATGAGGACATTGAGGATTGTAACCAACAGGTACAATTAATTATATTATACAGTATATAATTGTAATCATGAATTTTATGAATAATTTTAGGAATTGATATGGATACATTTATATGGTTGTGGATGTGATTGTAACAAAGTTGAACTATACTGTATTTTAAATTAAGTTCTATACAGTATGAATCAGGAATCAAACTTATGGGCATTCTTTCATATAGATTTATTACACATGTATGCTCCTCTAGCCTGCTGAAGCATGAACGAACCCATCGGAAAGCAAATACGACAAGCTTTAAGTGCAATTTTTGCAGCAAAGAATATTCACAATCTTCGCACTTGAAGACCCACATTAGAAACATTCATGGAGGTGAGTTAGGCAAAAGTTTAGAAGGATGATACATTATATGAAATTGGTGTATACTGTGTTCAGTATATTTGTTCTATGTGTGTTTAATGTGTAAAAACTTCAGGAACTGCTTAATCCAGTTTCATGCATAATTATAATATTATTTTCAGATAGTGATGGTTATGCCTGTACTGAGTGTGATGTAAGGGTGCTGTGTCATTCTTCTTTACGACGCCATATGTCTACTGTACATGCAAACTCTGTTAAATTCACCTGTCAACATTGTAGTAAAGGTTTTAATAATTACCAGAACTATCAAGGTAAGTGTTATATGAAAAGAAAATATCTTTGTCTTTAATAGTTGTGTTATAAGAAGAATTTTTAGATTTTTTCTGGTCCATGTCTTGGTGTTGTCTTGCAAAGACCTCTGTCTACTGAAACATAAGTACAGTATTCAGCATTTCTTAGTACCAGCTGGTCTATGTGTATGGGTTCATGCATTTGTTTCATGAACATGTATGCTATTCAGCATCTCTTTTTGCCATCTGCTGCATCAGCTTTAGATTCGTGGTTTCGTTCCCTGGAGCTATCAATGACAACTGTTAACCACCAGAGTTATCTTCACTAAGGTGTTTAGTTCTTCCTTTTGGGGAAGACTCCTGTAGAGGTGACCCTGTACTAGGTATTTGGACATGGTAGTTGCACGAGACCTATTGATGGGTAGGTTAGTTAATTGTTGTACAGCACTTGGTTTTGCTCAGTGCTAGTTCATGTAGGAAGTGGAACTTTGCACCATTTGCTGAGATAGCCCTGAGTGTAGATAAGGTTCAATATTAGCTGCTTTGTGATCTCTTGCACCTGGTCCTTCCATGCAAAGACTTATTTGGTGGAGCATTCCAGCTCCCAGGCTTCAGAGAAATTTTTGTTTTCCAATTACCTATGCTGGTTGGATTGCAATGAATCTCCCTCTTCTCTAAGGCCATCAGGGTCTGCCTTCTTTTCAGATGGGCAATGTTTTGGTCTTCTTGCCTTTGTGTTAAGTTGATAAATCAAAGTATTTAATCACCATTAGTCCATGTAATGTTGCATTTCAAATAAATTGGTTATTAATTATTATTAGTAAGAATATTAATTATTCTTATTAATAAGGAATGTCATTAATTATTAATCATTTTTTTACTGAATTATTATTAACAAAAGATATTAATTGTTAACATTTTCATCAGTATCCTCTTGCTCTCATATGTTGCTTGTCAGCATCCAAGTTTCCATTTACAACTTAATGATTGTACTGCAGCTAGTTTGTTTCTGCTTTTTGTTTATGTAAAGTTGTCAAGGTTCTAACATACAGAACACTGTACAGGTCATATACGTCGACACACTGGAGAGCGCCCTTACTGCTGTGAAACGTGTGGTAAAACTTTCACCACAGCCAAGGCTCTGTGTAGACACCGTCTCATTCACCAGGGTACCAAAACTCACAAAGTAAGTTATGTTCCAGCCATTAGGGTAAACTCTCTGGTTTCTGGTTGACTAAAAATTTTTTAATTCGGTAGGTTTATTGCAAAAGTACTATACCTTTGTATTTGTAATAATACAATATATTCTGAACTGTACTTACATTTGTAGTGCTGAGGTCTTGTGTTGTATTATATGCCATGATGGTCATTTGGGATATAATCTAAGATGCCAAATGAGCTGAAGGTTCAGTAATTTTGTAAATTTACTATTTACAGAAAAATAATCTGTATACATTAAAAATTGCTGTACTATTAAATACATAAAACTCTGTATACTGTACATTAAAATTTTTGTATTTCACTCGTATAAACAATAATAAAGATGTCTAGTATTTGAAGGCTAATCAAAGAGAAGTAAACATACTAGATATGGAATGAATTAGTATTGTATCGGTGTCAGTCTGAATCGGAGGACCGACTAGGTTCGTAGGAACTACAACATGAAGCAGGAGTACCTGTCTCTGTGTCATTACTTGTAGTTCTGACAAACTTATCCTTAGTGGTTGCCTAACTGCTGTGGTTCTCTTGATGTAAATTTCTCTCGAGTATCTTGAATGAGTGTACATGTTAGTTAATTCAATATCATCTGTCTCTTAGTACATCTGCAGGCCTGACGGCTGAGTGGACAGCGCTCGGGACTCATAATCCTAGGGTCCGAGGATCGATCCCCAGGAATGGCGGAAACAAATGGGCAAAGTTTCTTTCACCCTGATGCCTCTGTTCACCTAGCAGTAAATAGGAACCTGGGAGTTAGGTAACTGCTGCAGGCTGCTTCCTGTGTGTGTGTGTGTGTGTGTGTGTGTGTGTGTGTGTGTGTGTGTGTGTGTGTGTGTGTGTGTGTGTGTGTGTGTGTGTGTGTGTGTGTGTAAAAAAAAAAAAAAAAAATCATTTGATTGATTGACAGTTGAGAAGCAAGCCAAAGGAGCCAGAGCACAACTAGGTGAATACACCTCCATTAGCTCTTAGTATTTCTAATTATACATTAGATGTAATTATCTCTTAAGTGTAAATATATAATCCTCTGTCATACTGTTATGCTAACATTTTCCTTTGCCATTCCTGGTAAGATCTCTTGTATTACTAGCATTCAGTATTATGGTTCTCATCTGTTTAGGGACCACAGTTGTGAGTGAAAGTATTTGACAGTAGAAATACTAATCCCTTTAGGATCAAGCTTGCTCAAGGCTATTTAGGAGAAGATTAAAACAAGACTACAAATTGCTCTTTAGGTGATGTTCTAGTTTCTCTTTTCTAAGAGTTTGGTAACTAAATTAATCATTTGTTAGTTCTATAAAACAAGTCCATTCATATTGACTACAAGTTGTGCAGTTAAATTAAATTAATTCAACAAATTAAAGTAGAGAAAATTAACAAAGCTTAAATTTTTGGCAGTGCACACAGTGTGGTAAAGCATTTCTGGAATTATGTGATCTGAAACGTCATGTGAAACGCCATTTGCTGAAACACGTGAGGAAAGGCAACAAAATGTCTTCGGTCAAGTGTGAAGGGAATGCAGTTGCCCCAGCAGCATCGGTGGACCCTGGCATGAGCTCCATCAATCTTATGGTGCTCACCGATTCCCTCCTCTTCACCGAGTCTCAGCAGATACTGGAGAACACCGGCTCGAGAGCTACTGAGGCATGTATACAGTACTATATTTATGCCAATCGACATATTATAAATATTTTCAATATGTTAATGAAAGTAAATCCCATATAGGTATTTTTAAAGAGGATGTTTAGATTGTTTAATGCCATCACAGTAGATAGGTAAAAGCTGTTAGGTTAAAAACTGTCAGTTCAAAAACTTTACAAATTAAGTTTGGCTCAGCTATAATGCATTGTCATAGCCATAGGGCACTGGCATAGCCATAGAAGTAGGCATTCAACAGTCTCGGGAGACTATGGAGTTGCACTCTGGTTGCCGAGGCTCAAGTTTCCTCTCCAGGACACACATCCTGGGTAGGTCGATATGGAGAAGCTGTTACCCATGCAGCAGGTCTTCCCTCTCCACAATGCTAAAATTGTCCAATGGAAAGGCAAATGCCAATACGCTTGATTCCAGTGCTGTCGCAGGTGCTGCCATAACGAGGTTGAAGTCGACAACGAACTGCCTTTGGGGCTCCAGCTCCGGATTTTTCCTTGAGGTTGACTCCTGAAGCTATGGCATAGCCATAAGGCACTGGCACAGCCATAGGGCAATGTCATAGCCATATGGCACTGGCATAGCCATAGGGCACTGGTACAGCCATAGGGCAATGTCATAGCCATATGGCACTGGCATAGTCATAGGACACTGGCACAGTCATAGGGCAATGTCTTAGCCATATGACACTGGCATAGCCATTGGGCACTGGTACAGCCATAGAACACAGGCACCATTCTATGGTACTGTAAATTACTATTAAATAGTGGCTATATCTTTGAAGTTAATGGAAAATTGTGAATGATGCTTTGCATAAGTATTGGTATAATATTTGTATACCAGAGTTGGGCTTATCAAGGATCCTCTAGCCAAGGGTGAAGCTCCCTGAATGATCATTTTATCAATTACTGGTCAGAGCCAGTACAGCTTAACATGGCACAATAAATGAAGAAAAATATGTAAAAGAGGAGTACAATGATCATAGTACTATTCCCTATTCTCAAATATTGGGACTGCATTTTCCTTATCCAGATTTCTGGTAGCTCTCCTGTTTCTAGTGTAATGCTGAATGCTATAGTTAATGGTAACACAAGATTCCTGCAGCTTCCGTCCGTAACCATGTTGATATCTGGTCTGGTTCTACTACTTTTGCTACATCCAGTTCCTTTAGGGTTTTTTTTTTTTTTTTTTACTTCTGCATTAACTTTAATTCTGTCTAGTGTTATTTCTTGTCATCTGGTGTCACCCCCTATTTGGATACTAATCTGTTCAAGTTTCTAGACTTCCTGGAACTTTTTCACACACTTCCTTGTCATTCTTGAAGTGTTCCTCCCTGTCCATGCAGTCTGAACACATGATTTCACGCCATTATTTTCCTGTTTATAGCTGTGCAACAGCTTATGTTAGCTCCGTTTTTACTGCAGTGTAATTTTCAAACTGCTACTCTGCTGTCCTCCTGATTTTAGTGTACTGATTCCTGGCCCTCTTTAATGCCTCCCTATTTTTCTTTGTACCCATGCCCCTGTACTTTCTCCATGCCTTTTTTTTTCTTCTTTTTCTTCTTCCTAGTGTCTGTTAAACCATAGGTTTGCTGTTCTCCTATTGACCACTTCTTCCTGAGGGGTTGAAAGACACGCAACTAAATGCCTTCCAGAACTGAAAAGCAAAAGCTACAAGGAGAGGATATAGGTCTTAAATATACCAAAGCTAGAGGATAGAAGGAAAAGATCACTACAAACAAAATAGCAACACATCTACAAAATTGACAAAGAAGAGTTCTTGACAACTGTAACTTAAAGGACAAGAGGTTATAGATTCAAAGTATGGAAACAAAGCTGCCAAAAAAAAGCATTAAAAAGTTCACTTTTACAGAGTGGTAACAGTTTGAACAAGTTAAGTGAAGTGCTGGTGGAGGCCAAAACAGTCAGTAGTTTTAAAGCACAAAGTTTCAGTACCACAGAGTACTGGGAAGACAGGATACCACGAGCGTAATTCTCATCCTTGAATTACACTTGGGTAATTGTACTTCGATAATTATACAATAACACAGTGGTCAGTTGCTCCTAGTGACACCTTATATTTTACATTCTCAACATCACCTTCATTTTGGGTAAACACCAGGTCTAGGGTAGCTGTAAATCTCTCTCTCTTCTTGGCTACTTGATATACTGCCACAGAAACTGTTTGTCTGCAGTGTTCACAAATCTTGCTCTCCATGTTTCAACTTCCCTGTGGGGCATCCTATGTTAACCAGTCTACTTCCCTGTGGTTGAAATATCCAAGTAGGATAATTGCTCTGGCTCTCCTTGCCACTGTGGCTGCATTTTCTATTATCTTCAGGCATGTATCATTATATTTATCTTATTCCTCCCTTGACTTTTTTGTAGTTAATAGAGGGCTGTAAATAACACCTACCACCTTACCTTGCATTGATTTCGGGGCTCAACGTCCCTGCGGCTCGGTCCCCGACTAGGCCTCCTGGTTGCTGGACTGATCAACCAGGCTGTTGGACGCGGCTGCTCGCAGCCTGATGTATAGATCACAACCTGATTGATCAGATAGTTGACCACTATCATATCTAGTGTGAAGTCATGCTGGTTGTTTACCTCTGGCATCTGTGTCTCCTCAAAGCCCCAATATTGTTATATCAGTAGGACTACATCCCCCTAATTCTATAATCACTTCTTATCTTTCAAAATATTGCACAGTGGGGGAAGGGGCCCCCACTGTGCAATATTTTGAAAGTTAGAGATAAGGAATGACACTGATATGCAGTATTTTTCCTAAACAGTGGTGCAAAAATGGTTAACCAATATTGTAAGTAAATAAAGCCACAACAGATACAGTATTACAGTATTTATTTGTATACTGTATAATGTATATACATATTCACAAATACAGTACCTGTACAGGTATATTCAACCCACTGCAGAAACAGCTACAGTACTGTATTATTTGGTAAAAAATGTATTCTTGATGGGATATAAAATTGATTTTATAAGTTAGAGAATTAGTAAAACATAATAATTATAAAACATGAAAAATGTCTAAAATTGAATTCTATAATCACTTCTTATTTGAATTGCCATACAATTACAGCCTACCAAAAACATTTATAATAATACTAGAATGTCAATTAATAGATACTGAGTAGCATAACAAGATTGTATGATAGGTACTTTGAAAGAATTCATAACTTTTTCCCAGTTTGCTAAGAACAGACACGTATATAATCCTCCGTGACTATATACAAAACTTTCTGTACTAACTGCTTGTTTTTGTTTTCCTAGGTCATTTTACCCCATGAGAAACTGAGCACTTCAAAAGTTGTCAGTAATGAGCCAGTGATGAACTCAAATGATATTATACAGCCTAATGGGGCTAGCCTGCAGCAGCCATCTATGGATGTGACAAAGGGATCACATTTGTTAAGAACAGAAGACGTTCTGGCTTCCTCTGAACTCATGCCAGCTGAACCAGACATGGAAGCAGTCTCTCTCTTGGCCAATACTGCTGTCCTTCAGCCACCAGAAGTTACACATGGAATTACTACACCTCACCTTGATACCTCGCAAGTTTTACAACCAACGAACATCGATGTACAGGGTGTAGTAAGTGCAAATGACACGAGTGGAGTAACTCTGTCTTCACGGGAGTCGTCAGAATGTACCTCTGCTTCAGATGCTCCCACTATGGTTATGTTGTCATCTGTTACAACACCATCTGAGTATTTACCGGTGTGTGACTCTGAAAACGGGTCTAGCAACCCAGTTATTGAAGGAGCAAGATGCCAACAGAGTGAGAGAGTTCTTAGTCATGCCACTTGGTGAGCAGTTTTACTAACAAAACTTATATCTTGAATGTTTTAATATATCATTCATATCTTTGTAACAACGAATATCAGTACTGGTATTAGTACAAAATCACCAAAGTATATAAAAGTATAAAAGTTATATTGTTAAAAGTTACCCCATTGTTTCCTACCTGGTGTTTCCTCCCTGGTCCTTGTGTCACCTCCCAAATCTTCCATCTTTTCTGTCTTCTGTGCCTTCCTTCACTTCTCAGCTCTTCCTTGTCTTTTGGCCCTCCACAACACCTGTCTGTCTAGGCCATTGTCCATAATATATCCAGCCATCTTCATATTGTCCGCTCTAATTCTCCCCCCTTCTGTGGAGGCTGTCACCCAATACATTGCTACTGGTACACCTGTCTCTCAATCAGAAATGTAAACCGGACTCCTCCTCCTCCCCAGCAGGTAAGAAGGCATTGATACATCCCTCACCTTCTGCCTCTGTTTCTGTCCCTGCATCTCCTCCCATTTCAGTGGCAGAGTTGCCTGTCTCAGCTATGGAGATTCCCTTGGCCCCTGATTCTCTCTTAGGTCATGTCCTTGATCAAGTGCACTTCCCTGTTTCTGTCCTTCCTCACCCCAATTCCCTTGACTGCCCCTCTCCTGACGCCTTCTCCCACTCCAGACTCTTGTCAGTTCACCTCTGGCCCATCCTACCACCCTCTTGACTCAATCATCTTTGCTAGCTTTACCTGTTCCTCTTAACTCTGATTACACTGAACCTGATCCTATCTAGTATTCTTCTTTGCATTTGTTTTCCCTTGTTGTCTCCATTTTTGACCATCTATTTTTCAATGAAATATTCTTGCTTTTTATGCCAAGCTCCCAGGAACTCTTAACTTCTGATCACACAGTTTTCACTACTTTGTGTACATCACCAGGAGCCGATGCTTGGCACTCGTCCTGGTTGTTTATGTGGTTATTCTTTTCCTCTCCTTCCCTCCAGCTTTTGCTGGGATTCAACTGAAATCTTTACAGGTGCTGAGACTTCCACCTGAAGCTCAATTAGGATTTCATGTATTGCCTGCATGCACTTTGGCTGTGGTAGATCTGTTAACTAAATAATAATAATAATATTTAGTTAACATATTACAGCATTCTGCATTTTTTGGTCTCGGATATTCAAACGACATTTGCCACTTGAAAATTTGTCACTCAATTATGCAACATACCATTTGCAGTAACCTTGTTCGGCCCTCTTGCAGAATAATAAGACATGCTACTGGTCAATATAAGATGAATACAAATAATTTTACTAGTATTACTCCCCTTTTCCAAAACCATTTAAATAAGATTCAGATCAATGTTATGTTGTAGAAAGTATTCCAATGCTGAAATGTCCCCTCAATAATTTTAATCATCACTGCATACAATTAATTTTGGTAGAAATTTGTACAACATAAATACAGCATTCTCATTGTTTCACAGTTTGATTTAATGTCATCTTTCAAGTACTATGATAATAAATTAATTTATAAATATAATTACAATACTATATAATTTGCAGATGAGTCACAATAACATGGCTGAAGATATGATAACCACACCAGAAGATGAGACGACAACGTATCGGTCCGTCCTGGACCATTATAAAAGTCGATTGTGATGGAAGCGAGGGAGGCACAGGCATTAAGTAAAGCGAGAGAGAGGTGACGAACAGGTAAGGGAGGTAATTCCTAGAGGAAGGTAAGAGCAAGGCAAAAGGAAAGACCAAGAAGAAAGGTATGGATGAGATGGGGTGATTAATGTGTGTAAGAATAAGAGGAAAAGAAACAGAAAAAATGGGAGGGGGTTAGGCTTATGTCAGGTCACGTTTGTTAGAAAGGTTAGAGCATTTGAATATATACTGTGAAAGGGAAGCGTCAACAGCAACAAAGCCAAGACTAAGGTTCATGTTGGGTATGTTGTGTATCAGAGCAGATTCAACAAAACAGCATCTGTGAAGAGGAGAGGCAGGAAAGATTATTTTAGAAGACCAATCAATAGAATGATTAAATCCCTAATAGAACAGAAGAGAGCATTCTTTTGAGTTCCTTAAATCTGTTATTTAATGTACAGCCAGTTTCCCCAAAGTATGGAGAGGACAAGACAAACAGGAAATAGAGTAGACACCAGCAGCATTAGAAGTAGGAGTAGCAGTGTGAACCAGATTACAACGAAGAGTGTTAGTTTGTCGAAAGGCGAGCTTTATGTCGAGAGGACGAAGGGTATTAGTGAGATTTTTTAGTTCAGAGACGAAAGGAAGGCAGAGCACAGTGCTAATAGTGTTGGAACTGAGTTTGACATGAAATAAATTTTGTTTATTTTGAGAATAGGTACAGTTGATCAAATGTAAGGGATAACCAAGGCGAGAGAAAGATTTGTAAATAAAGGAAATTTCAGAATCAAGAAACTGAGGGTGACTGATGCATAGAGTGCAGAGGGAGAGATGAGAACAGTTTTCTTAACAGGGGGAGGATGATAGGAAAAGAAGTGAATGTTCATATCACTTTGCATGGGTTTGCAGTAGACAGAGAAAGAGAACCCCGATACAAAACTACGAATATCAAGAAAATCAAGGAGGTAATTAGATTCCCATTCTCCTTTGAAATGGAGGAGCCAGATTGTTAAGAGTGAAAAGGCTGGGAAAAGACTTAAGGCTATGAGGCCATAAAGCAAACATGTCATCAATATAGCGAAGCCAGAAAGAGGGATGGGTATTAATAGTGGGAAGAAGAACAGTTTCAAAGTATGCCATATAGAGATAGAGGAGAGAAAGGAAACCCATAGGGGCACCAAAAGTGTGAGAGAATTATTTTTCATTGAAAAAGAAGGAGTTAGTCAACACAGTCTGATGAGTTTTGAGAATAATGTCAGTGGGAAGCAGATGTAGAAGGCCCTCAGTTGCCATTATGACTAAGGAAAGAGAGAACATCATCAAGAAGAACATTAGTAAACAGAGTCGACATCAAGACTAAGCACCTTCTTCATCTCCTGCTTACCACTGACATTTTTCTCAAACTCATCAGACTGTTGACTCTAATTCCTTCTTTTTCAACGGAAAATACTCCTCTCAAACTTTCGGTGTCGCTATGGGTTCCCCTCTTTCCCTTTATGTCTATATGGAATACTTCGAAACCGTTCTTCTTCCTATTATTGCTACTAGTGTCTCTCTCTGACTTCGCTATGCTGATGACATTTATGCTTTATGGCCTCATGACCTTAGTCTTTTCTAGCCTTTCCTCTCTTAACAATCTGGCTCCTTCTATCCATTTCAAAGTTGAATGGGATCTAATTACCTCCTTCCTTTTCTTGACCTTAATACTCACAGCTTTGTGTCCGGGTTTTCATTCTCTGTCTACCGCAGACCCATGCATAGTGGTAAGTATATTCACTTTTTTTCCTACCATCCTCCTCCTGTTAAGAAAAGCGTTCTCGTCTTTCTCTCTTCCTCCGCGTTCTAAGCATCATTGACCCTCAGTTTCTCGATTCTGAAATTTCCTTTCTTTCCAAATAATTCTCTTGCCTTGGTTACCCCTTACATTTTATCAACTGTGCCTGTTCTCAAGCTAAACAAAATTTCTTTCGTCCCAAACACATTTCCAACACTATTAGCACTGTGCTCTGCCTACCCTTCATATCTGAACTAAAAAATCTCACTAATACCCATTGTCCTCTTGACATAAAGCTCGCCTTTCGACAAACTAACACTCTTCATTGTAATCAGGTTCACACTGCTCCTCTTGCTTCTAATGCTGCTGGTGTCTACTCTATTTCCTGTTCATCTTGTCCTCTCCAATACTTTGGGGAAACTGGCTGTACACTAAATGACAGACTTAAAGGAACACAAATGAAGTGTTAAGTCTGCAGACATAAACAATGCTCTTGTCATGTTAGGGATTCTAATCATCCTATTGATTGGTCTTCTAAAATAATCTCTCCTTCCTCTACTTTTCACAGATGCTGTCTTGTCGAATCAGCTCTGATACACAGCATATCCAACATGAACCTGAGTCCTGGCTTTGTTGCTGTTGACTCTTTCCCTTCATAGTACATACTCAAATGCTCTAACTTTTCTAATAAACATGACCTGACATAAGCCTACCCCTTTTCTTTCTTTCTCCTCTTATTCTTACTTTTCCATTATTACACCCATCCCATCCATACCTTTCGTGTTCTTACCTTCCTCTAGGAATTACCTCCTCTTACCTGCTCCTCACCTCTATCTTGCCTTACTTAATGCCTATACACAGAGTACTCACACTAATGTGACTGCATCAGTGTGAAAATCCGTAGGAGGAGTGATGAGGATTCGAATCTATGCGGTGGATGCTTCCACGCAAACGCTTCTAGTGACTAGACCACGACATTATATAAGGATTGCAACCTGGAGTTCTACCGACTACACAAGGATTTCAGAAAGTCCTTGTGTGATCAGTAGAACTCCAGGTTGCAATCCTTATATAATGTTGTGGTCTAGTCACTAGAAACATGTGTGTGGGAACATCCATCATGTAGGTTCGAACCCTCATCACTGCTCCTACGGATTTTCTCACTAATGCCCATGCCTCACTCGCTCCCATCATGGACTGAAACGTCGTCATCTCATCTTCTGGTGTGTGGTTTGGTCATCCCTATATAATTTGTTGTCTTCTTTGACAAGTGAAATGGTTAATAGATTCAAGCAATGATGATGGAGTCCTTGAAGGAACAGTATTGATGACTCTCAACAACTGGTCCTCAGAGATGGTGATGGATTCTTGAGAATATTGTATCCCAAGAGCTTGTACGTCTTGAACACCAAGCTGTGAAATAGCATCGTGTGCTGCCGCTTGGTATATGGCAGTGATCTGTGTGAAACACATTAGTTCATTAGAGTTTTACAACATTAATTTACAAATAACTGCTAACTACATTAGATACTCTATTTGATTCTTGTCAAGTAGTACATTTATGCATCACAAACTTATTTCAGTATATGTATAAGCAACTTCTGACCTGCCCTTTTAAATTATTTTTACATATGATACCTATTCTCTGCTTTTACTGGACATTTTCATGCCCTACAGACTGCACAACAAAACTGGGTCCTTGCAAAACCATCTCCAAAGATTACTGTGCATCCTGCTTTATTTTAGTGTAAAGAAGCCTACAACAGAAAATTTAAATGTAAACTGAAGACTTCTACACACATGCATTGTTATCTGGAGCATACCTGGAGAGGGTTTTGGGAGTTCTACTCCCCGAGCCCAGTCTGGGGCCAGGCTTGGCTCAGATGAATTGTTAATTCATCTAATACTTTTGTTACACTTGTGTTGCAGCAAATTAAGCTACTAAAATATGAGATATATTTTGGGTTTGTAGTAGTTGACAGGGTGGTTGTGGTGGTGATTCTTGTAGTGGTTGCAACAAGAATCCCTGCACACATAAGGGCCATAACACTGTTCAAAAGAGAACTTGATAACTTTCAATGGATACCTGAGGAACCAGGCTGTGATTCATGTGTCTGGCTGTGAGCAGCCACATCCAACAGCTCGGTTGACTAGACCAACAACCAGGAGACATGGTCAGAGACCAGGCTCCTGGAACACTGATCCTCAGAATCATTACATCATAAGGTATGGAGGTTGGGGAAGAGGAGAGAAGATTGTGGTACCATTAAAGTTATTAGTTTTGGTGTTTTGTGGGGAAAGGGAAAGGAGAGAGAGAAAAGAGAGAGGGGGGGGGATGGAAGAGACAGGTGAAGTGGATTAAGACGGGTGAGGGAACGGGAAGGCATAGTATTTTACTAGGTTCATTGAGGAATTTAAGGCATTTCTGGCAGGCTCTGTCTTTTTCCTCCTCCTATACAGCCAACTACAATATCTTCCCTCAACAGACCTCACTCAGGCAACCAGTCCTGAAGCACTACTCGGGTCTAGAGGAGTCGACCCCTATGGAAGAAACCAAAAACTTCAGAAATAGTTAAACTTTGATGAATAATAATAATCACTAGTGTCATCATGGAAAGCACCCTTGAAAGGTGAAGGCTAAAATGGTTGAAGGAATCAAAAGATATACAAGGCAACTAGCTAACAGAGAATGAAACATGCTAGGAAAGTGACCCACTACAAGGACAAACCAGTAGAAAGGGAGCCAGTCACTGAATAATAAGAGCAGCATTGTTCATTGGATCATGAACTCTGACTCTCAAACAACTGGCATGGGAATCCAGAGCTACTATGGAAGGGACCACCAGATGTGAGAGGAAACAGAATGAAGTCACACTGCAGCAAAACTCCTGACAAATGGCACCAGTCCGTGCCCTTTATCCCATCCCCCATTCCATTTAGCTGACTGTACCAGCATATGGAAGTCTCTGGAGGCCGCTAGGATGTCCCTGGAGGCCCCCTAGAGGCCCCTTGAGGTTTCTGGAGGTCCCTAGAGGCCCAAAGAGGTCCCTCGAGGTCCCTGGAGGCCCCTTGGATGTCTCTGGAGTTCCCTGGGGGTCTCTGGAGGCCCCTAGGACATCCTTGGAGGCCACCTAGAGGCCCCTTGAGGTCCCTGGGGGCCCATGGTTGTCCCTGGAGGCCCCTCTGAATGTCTCCTGGAGGCCCTCTAGAGCTTCGTGGAGGCCCCCTAGAGCTCCCTGGAGGCCTTTAGAGGTCCTTTGGAGGTCCCTAAAGGACCATGGAGTTCCCAGGAGGCCCTTGGAAGCCACCCGAATGTCCCTGGAGGTCCTTGGAGGCACCCTGAATGTCCCTGGAGGTCCCTTGAAGCCCCTGGAGGTCCCTGTAGGGCCCCCTGAAGGTCCTCGGAGGTCCTGGAGCCTCTCTGAAGGCCCCCTAAAGGTCCCTGGAGGTGCCCTAGATGCCCCTTGATATCCTTGAAGGTTCCTGGATGTCCGTGGAGTTCCCCTAGAGTTCCCTGGAAGCCCCTAAAGGCCTGCTGGAGGTCCCTAAAGGCCTCATGGAGGTCCCTAAAGGCTCCTAGAGGTCTCTGGAGGCCTTTGGAGGTATCTGGAGGCCTTTAGAGGCACCCTGAATGTCCCTGGAGGTCTCTAGAGGCCCCTGGATGTATCTCGAGGTCTCTGGAAGCCCCTAGGATGTCACTAGAGGCCCCCTAGAGGCCCCTGGAGGCCTCTAGAGGTCCCTAGAGACCTCTAGAGGTCCCTGGAGGCCCATAGAGGTCTCTGGAGGCCCATAGAGGTCTCTGGAGGCCCATAGAGGTCTCTGGAGGCCCCTGGAGGCCCCCTGAATGTCCCTGGAAGTCTCTGGGGGGCCCCTGGATGTCCCCTTGTCCCTGGAGGCCCCCCTGGAGGCCCCCTTAAAGGTCCCTGGAGGTCCTCGAGACTTTTAGAGGTCCTTTGGAGGTCCCTGAAGGCCCCTGTAGTTCCCTGGAGGCCACTTGAATGTCCCTTGAGGCCCCTGGAGGCCCTTGGAGTTCCCTGGAAGTCATTTGAATGTCCCTTGGAGGCCCCCTAGAGGTCCCTGGAGGCCCCTGGAGACTCCTAAAGGTAAGGTAATTATCAAAAGAAGGCACCAAACCGGGAAGGCTATGTAGCACCATCAAAGTGCGAAATAATCAGAGGGCGCTAAATATCACCAAGAATGCCAATACGAGAACAAAAACGCATAAGGCGAACGATATCAAAAGTATCCGATTCACCTAGAATTCTATCGAGGGACAAGTGACCGCGAGGGACGGTCGGAAAGCAAGACACACGCTTGTCCTGGAAGTCAGGACATTCAACAAGGATATGCACAACTGTAAGAGGGACAACGCAATTTGGACAATAAGGAGCAGGGCAGCGCTCCATTAAGTGACCGTGGGTTAAGCGAGTATGACCAACCCGCAACCGTGCCAAAACAGTTTCCCACCACCGTGGAGACTCCTAAAGGTTCCTGGAGGTCATCTGAAATTCATTGGAGGTCTCTTGAGGCCCTTGGAGGTATCCTGGATCTCCCTGGAGGTTCCTGGAGGCCCCTGGACGTCTCTGGAGGCCCCCAGGATGTCCCTGGAGGCCCCTGGAGGTTCCTGAAGGCCCTTGGAGGTCCTTGGAGATGCCGAAAGGCCTCCTGGAGGTCCCTAAAGGCCCCTGCAGATCCCTGGAGGTCACTGGAGGACCCTGGAGACCACCTAAATGTCCCTGGAGGTGTCTTGAGGCCCCTGGAGGTCTCTTGAGGCCCCTGGAGGTCCCTTGAGGCCCCTGGAAGTCCCTCGAGGGCCCTGGAGGTCTCTGGATGTCCCTGGAGGCCCCTGGAGGTCCCTAGAGGCTCCCTGAAGGTTTCTGGAGGCCCCTAGAATGTCCCTGGAGGCCCTCTATAGGCCCCTTGGAGGTTCCTGGAGGCCAACTCAATGACCCTGGAGACGCCTAAAAGCCTCCTGGAGGTCTCTAAAGGCCCCTGGAGTCCACCTTAATGTCCCTGGAGGTCCCTTGAGACCATAGGAGGTCCCTGGAGGTCCCTTGAGGCCCATGGAGGTCCCCTGGAAGCTTTTGAACGTCCCCTGGAGGTCCCTAAAGGTCCCTGGAGGCCTCCTAGATGCCCTTTGAGGTCCCTGGAGGCTCCTGGAGGGCCCTGGAGGCCCATGGAGGTCCCTGAAGGCCCCTGGAAAGCATGGGAGGCCCCCAAAATGTCCCTGGAGGCCCCCTAGAGGCCCCTTGAGGTCCATGGAGGTTCCTGGATACCCTTTGAAGTCCCTGGATGGCCGTGGAGGTCTTCTGGAGTTGCCTGGAGGTCACTAAAGGCCCCTGGAGGCCCCTGGGGGCCACCTGAATGTTCCTGGAGGTTCCTTGAGGTCTCTGGAGGCCCATGGAGGTCTCTGGAGGCCTTGAATGTCCCTGGATGCCCTTGGAAGTCCCCTGGATGTCCCTGGAGGCCCCCTAGAGGTCCCTGGAGGCACCTGGAGGCCCCTGAAATTCCCTGGAGTTCCCAGGAGGACCCTGGAGGCCCTCTAGAGGCCCCTGGAGGTATCCTGGATGTCTCTGGAGGTCCTCTAAGGCCCCTGGAGGCTCTTGGAGGCCCCTGGAAGTTCCTGGAGGCCCTTGGAGCCCCCTTAGAGGTCCCTGGAGGTCCCTGGTGGTCTCCTGAGGTCCATGAAGGCCCCCTAAAAATCCCTGGAGGTCTCTGGAGGCGCCTGCAAGTACCTGGAGGCGGTCTGGATGTCCCTGGGGGTCCCAGGAGGACCCTGGAGGACCCCTTGATGCCCCCTTGAGGTCCCTGGAGGCCCCGGGAGGTCCCTGGAGGTCCCTTGAGGCCTCTGGAGGTCCCTGGCGACTCCCTAAAGTTTCCTGGAGGGCCCTGGAGGTCTCCTGAATATTTTCAGATGTCCTGGAATCTCCCTGAAGGCCCCCTAAAGGTCACTGGAGGCCCTTCGAGGTCCCTGGAGGCCTTTGAAGATCCCTGGAGAACCCTGGAGGCCCCTTGGATGTCTCTGGAGGCCCCTGGATTCCCCTCGAAGTCCCTGGAGGCTCCCTGGATGTCCGTGGAGGTCCCGCTGGAGTTCCCAGGAGGCCCCTAAAGGCCCCCCTTGGAGGTCCCTGGAGGCCCCCCTGGAGGCAACCTGAATGTCCCTGGAGGTCTCTTAAAGCCTCTGGAGGTCCCTGAAAGCCCTTGAAGTTCCCTGGAGGCCCCTGGAGACCCCTAAAGTTTCCTGGAGGGCCATGGAGGCCCCTGAAGGTCCTCGGAGGTCCTGGAACCTCCCTGAAGGCTCCTAAAGGTCTCTGGAGGCCCTTGGAGGACCCTTGAATGTCCCTGGACGCCCCTAGAGGTCCCCTGGATGTCTCTGGAGGCCCCCCTAGAGGCCATTTGAAGTCCCTGGAGGATCTTGGAGGCCTCCGAGGGGCCCTTTGAGGTCCCTGGAGGCTCCT